AGGTTTATCCCTGGGTGCACAGGATGCTTACGGCGCATCGCTGCGGGTTTTGCCACGGTCACGCGATGGGGAGGAATTAAAAAGGAATGCCTTTAGCCCGGGCTGTCCTCTGGCCAAGCTGAGCCGGGGCGGGGCCAGCCAGGATGCTCGGGGCTGGCACCGGGAGAGCGGGAGACCAGCCGCTGGAAATGTGGGTGGGAGAGTCGGGCAGCGTTTGCAATAAGGGTACTGCAAAAAACTCCTCCTCAAAAGGGGAAAAAGTGTGTTTCGTCAGCTGCAGAAGCACCTGCAAGGTAGGAAGCGGAGGGGATTGGGGTGTGAGATGTCCCAGTATAGGTCACCCACCTCCTTTGGTACCATGGGGCTGATGGCACCAAGGGTGGGCACAGGCAGCCAGGGAGGATCCAGGTGGCTTTGGCACATCCCACAAGCCCCATGGGGTCTCCTCCTGGCCAGGCCCACCCAGCACCAGCCCTTCCTTTGCCCATCTCCCCCAACACAGGATGCCACTCCCCACCCGTGCCAGGCTGAAGGCACTCAGCCTCGTGGATAAACTCCAGCTCCACACTCGCTGCCTGGGGCGCCTGTCTGTCCCAGCCTCACGGGGATGCCCTGGCCATGCAGTTCCTGCTGTCCCCTGGGGCTCTGTGATCCCAGGCTGCCCTTCAGGGAGGGCTGGGGGTGGATCTGGTTAGCCAGCTGCTGCTCTAGGTATGGGGCTCTGAAAGCAAAGGGGGAAAAAGATTAAAAATGAAAAAAAAAAGTCATACAAGAAAGCACATCACTGGTCTGTCCCTGTCCCTCCTTGCCCCCCCAGCTGGGTGCATTGGTGCTGCAGGAGCTGCCCCAGCTGCACCCATGTGCCTCCCCCCTCCCCAGCCTTGGGTGCTGCTTTGTGCCAAGCCCCTGGCCTTGCTGGCACTGCGTGTGGCTGGTGGGGAGGGGGACAGGGGAGAGCTGTGCCCGCTGCTCTCCATCCCCCTTCAGCAAGGCCAAATGCCTCCTCCCCTCGCTGTGTAAATTTTGTACAGTTCCAGAAAGTGAGAGTCTTGTTTCCTGGGGGAAAAAAAAAAGGAAAAAAATAAAACCCAACAATAATAATAATTAAAAAATCTCAAAGAATAAAACCTTATTTATTGCCATGTCTAGGGGAGAAGTGTTCCCCTCCCCTAAATGCCCCCGAATTCGGGCCCAGGGCGTTGCTTTTGTACGCTGCCTCCGGTGCGTTGGCATGAGATGTGTACAGTCATCCCTTCTGCTGCGAGGGAAAGCAATGGCAAATAAACTCGGGATGCTCTTTAGCAGCTGCTGTCTTTGGGATTTTTTTCCTCAGTGGGAGGGCAGCGCCCACCATTGGCATTGCCTGCTCTGGCACCGCCGGCTCTTTGGGGTTGGGATCCTGGGGGAGTCTTGTCCTGGAAGCTGGCACCCCTGGATGGGACAAGTGGCACTGGTCATTGTGCCCTAGCTTTTTGTGGGCACAGAGTGGTGCACCTCAAGGTGCCACAGGTCTCCTGCCACCACACAGCAGTGACGGTGCCCAGTGCCAATGCCAGGCTCAGCGGGCACAGGTGAGATGGAAGAGCCATGCTGGGCAGGATGGGGGGTCCAAGCCCCTCCGTGGGCACCGGTGTGTTGGCTTTCTATATTTTAATCATTTTAACATTTAATGCTTCTCAATTAAAGTGATTTCCTGGAGTAGATGCCAAGCTTAGGGCGAATGCACATTAACCACTTTCTGTATCGGTAGTTAAAGGCACCAAGGGATTTAAACAGCAATCCGCAAGGCTGCTGGGGAAAGGTTTGGCTGAATAAAGCAGATTATAAACAATAATATATGTCTTTCTCTCCTCCCCCTCACCCTGCTTTCTTTTTTTTTTTTTGGAAAGGCTCCAACCTCACAAACAGACCTAAAGTGCTATAAACATCTCCAGGGCTGAGCGCTTGGCCCCCAAATGTGCTCTCTGAAAGCACCAGCACCACGGCTGCTGCTTTTCATCCCAGCTTTGAGAGAGATTTTTTTATTACCCAGCATGTCCATCAAGCCAGGCAGTGGCTGTGCATTATGGCACTGCACAGGGGTGGCCTCACTTGTCCCCAACCTTGATGTCACCACATCTCCATCACAAAGCCAGTGTGACTCCAGCATTGGGGTTGGCACCTTTGCCTCATGCACATCCGCATACAGAAGTGACAGACTGTGATGAGCCCAGGCACTGCCAGCCTGGGGGTGCCCTGGGCAGGGGAAAGGGGGCAGAGCCACCTTAGGCCTTGCTTTATATAAAGTGAATGGAAAATAGCTTGCCCAAGCCATTTTGTCCCCACCATGGAGCTTGGCCTGTGCCATGTGTAGCGCAGTGGCTGCTGGTGGCGTTGGAGCCTGCACAGCAAACTTGGTCAGTGTTGGCAAGCACTGGTAGGACTGACAAAACCCACATGTGCCTCCTGCCCAGCCAGTCCTGAGCAGAGGGAATGTTCCTATTTACTTTCCTGAGGCTGGATGTGCTGCAGAAAGGACTTCATGGCAAGTAGCTTCCTGTCACAGTGATGGAGATTTCCTACACTCCCCCCAGGCTGTAAATCTCCTTGTCAGGGAAAAGCAAGCACATGGCAATGTCCCCCAGGGAAACCACAGTCTCCTCTTGCCATACACCCAACACAACACAGCAGCCTCCCTCCCAGTTACCCCAAAGCACAAATCCATCCCTGGCAGCTCCCGTGACCCACTGGCAGGGCTCAGTTGGGAGCCTGGTGAGGAAGCATTGAGCCCCACCATCATCCCACCTCACTCCAGTACCCAGCCATCACCACAAGGCATGTTTTCCCCGTTTTTGGGGTATTTGGCCAGCTGAGACAACAACAAAATGTCTGAGACAGGCCCACAGGAGTGACAGGGTGGGTGCATGTTTATGTCTGTGCCCAGCTCTTACCAAGCCCCAGCCCTGAATGAGCACTGGCATGTGGCAGGAGGATCTGGAACTGCTGATGGAGGTGGGGTTTAAAGCCATTTAATACAGCAAAGTGGCCGTGTGATAAAAGTCCTGTCAGCTGCTGGTTAGCAACACCTATTAGGTGAGAATCAGAGGGACAGGCAGACACCTGTGTGACCCTGCTGTCTTTGCAGCCCTCCTTCCCCAGGACAAGAGTGTGAGCAGAGCTTTCCAAGGGTTATGGCAGCACTGTCTCCCATCCTTATTGCTTCCAAGGAATCAAGTCACTCCCTGCAAAAAAAAACCAAGCCCAAACACACAGAGGCTCCATCCCAACACTGTGCTTTTATTTATTTTGTTTGGACCCAGGGAAAAAAACCAAACTAGGACAACCAAAATTCAACCTGAACAGGAGAGATGAACATCTCAGCTGGCTCAGCAGCCCTGCTCTCCCCACCGAGGAGCTGACCAGTCAGCCCAGGCTGCTCTGGTGAGACAGCCAACGCAGTACTCGTCTTTGATACATTAAGATAATTCTTGGGGCCTTCTCCAGGTCCTCTCCCCCCTCCCTCCCCCCTCAAATACTGATAAATGTCAGAGCATGCACAACTCTGATCCCATCCTGCCCAGGATATGCGCTTGGGCCTCGCGCCGGAGAGCCCACCCAGACCCTGAGCTCTCAAAGATCCCCTTGAAGCCCCGAGGTGTTTGGGGAGGGCAGTGGGGAGGCAGGGGAGGAGCAGGGGTGTCATTGTGGAGTGTCTCTGCCCCCGTGGGGTCAGGGCTGGCTGGTGAGGTGCTGCTGCAGAGCCGCAGTGATGGCTTTGGAGTCCGTCACCTCCTGCGGCAGACAGCCCTCCTGGTCCCGCAGCCCGGGGTCCGCGCCCGACTGCAGCAACAGCTCCACGATGTCCAAAAACTCACAGGTGGCAGCTGCAGGGAGAAAGGGAAGGGTTAGCCTGGGGATCCCGACCTGAGGAGGTGGTGATGGGCCTTTCTGGAGCGGTGGCTGTAGCTGGAGGCAGGAAACGCCGTCTCAGCACCTGGCAGATGGTTTCTCGGGGCAGTGTTCAGTACGCAGTGTATTGCTCTGGATTTAATAGTGCAAAGGAAGGAGAAAAGACAGAGCGAGAGCAATGCAAAGCCAGAAGCCCTGAGGGGTGTGACTGGTGTAACCAGCACCCCAGATCCTGCAGCCACGGAGCCATCGGGAGCCCAGGGGGCTACTGAGCATCACCTGTGACACCGAGGGAGACTGGGCACAGTTTGGTTAAGGATCCTTGGCATCCAGGATTGGAAACTGATCCTAGGAAGGATCCCAGAGTGCTACTGCAGCACTGCAGAGAGCCCCAAAGTGCCACCTGGGAAAGCATTCCCTGCCTGCTTTTGTACCCAGAATTGATAATGCACTTTCTCCATTTATCTATAACATACTTGGAAGTCCCTGACCCTCACTTGCCTCCTGAACCTCGCAGGGCTCCACAGACAGCCTGTCCCAGGCAGGACACCACCAGTACTGCCTCACTCCTGGCTTTCATCCACCATTTCTCCTTGCAGAAAATCCAGATGGATTTTAGCTGCTGGCCACCCCTTCCCTAAGCACAAATTCCAGAGAACTGTTTCTGTGCCCTCGGACAGCTGGTAACAGCACACGTTATTCCTACCTCACACTTCCACTAGCAACTATTTGTTCACCCCTGATTTTCTCTGCCAAAATAGAATCCACTTTGACTTGAGCTCTTCTTTGTCCCTAGGATGTAACAGTCTTACCTAAGGATGCTAAAACAAAAGAACCAGGAATCGCAGGAAAACTTGTAACACTGAAGAACTGGACTTGGTTGATACCAGCAGAAGTCCCAGACCCTGGATTTTCCCTTAAGCCCATGTAATGCAGAGCCTAGTGAAGCCCAAATCTGCCTTAGGAGGCCATGGAGCCAGCAGCTTCCTCTCACATTGGTATTTTGGGTGCTTTTATAATGCAACCAACTGACTTTTTGTAATTAGAGTGTCCTTTGCATTGCTCTGCAGTCTTCTACTGATCCAAATGGACAAGCAGCAATGTCTCATTAGAACAAATTTGACATGTGATTGGAGCTTATAGTGAAAAGACAAAAAAAGGGTGGAGAAGGGGCTGGTGAGGAAGCAGGTGGGGTGTGGGTGAGGCTGAGCTGAAGGGCTGGGCAGCACATCCCTTTGCAGAAATCAGGTTTCCAGGCGTGCCAGGGAAGCTGTGGTGGCAGAAGGGGAGCTGTAAAGGTGCCTTCCTTGTCTGGTGCCACCAGTGGGCACAGTTGGTGTCCTTGAGGGGGCTGGGGACATCCCCAGGGACGAGCACAGCCGCTGGATTTATCGCACCCTGGGCCCCTCGATTTGTCAAGGGCCGGAGCGGCAGCCCTGACACTGGCACGGGTGAAGATGAATTTCCACCCAGCGCAGTTCGCCTCCTGACTCCATTAATCCTCAGGGTTCAGATGATGAATTTTTTTCCTTTTTTTTTTTTTTTTTTTTTTATTATTTATTTTCCCTCTAGCATCCCCTCCCACTGCCCTGCCACAGCACAGACAGAGCCGAAGAGATGGTGCTTTGCAGGGAAGCCAGAGTGCCCATGAGGATACAGAGCCTGCCCACTCCGTGGCCACGTGGCCACCACTGCTCAGAGAAGCCTTGATTTCCTCTGGGAGAGGCAGCAGCAATGATTTTAGTACTCCCAGTGGGCGGATGGATGGATGGATGGAGAGGAGCTGGAGACTAACAGGCCGTTTAGCAGGGAGACTGTGCTCACAGCCACCAGCACAGCCCTGACTGTGCTCCAGCCTGGAGCAGTGGGTTTGGCTGTGGGTGCCACCAGGAGCCTTTGGGCCATGCTGCTGGTTGGTTGGCCTCCACTTAACCCCCGATTAAAGTCGGGGTCGGAGCCATCGGAAGGAGGCAGGATTTATAACCCACAGCAGGATGCTGCTTGACACCAGCTGTAATCAGGAGAGCTGTCACCACAAGGACAGCTGTCAGGCCACGCTGGCTCATAAAAAGGGATGCAGACACCCTAAAAGCAGTGCCTCCTGCCTTGCTGGCCTTGCTGATGGGATTTAACCCTTCCCTGAAAGGCCTCCCAACAAAAGGGGGGTTGTAAAGGCACTGCCCTGCTCAGTTTCCATATGAGCTCTCATGCTGCTCCACTGCCTTAACAGTTTGGTTGCAAAGTGCTGACCAAAATGGTATCAGGAGATTCAATGAGATCCAGTTACAGGCCAGCAGCCACTTGAATCAAACCCAGTCACTCATTTAACAAGCTGTTTCCCAGATCTGGGTGATTTATGAGCAGATCAGTAAGGGAATGAGGACAACCTGGATGCAGCAATTGCCACCAGGAGCAGCTGGACACCCACGGGCACACTGACCCTGCCTGCCAGCAACCCAGAGAGGCTTCCCAAAGATGACATACAGGCAGGGGAGGTGGGATAACACTCAAGGAGAAGCAAAAATTTTAACACTTAAAACACTTGGGAAGAAAACCCTGGTTAACTGTTATTGTTAAAACATCTGAGCTGGCAGGATAGACCAGAGAAACTGTTTCTGAAATAATGTTCATTAAATCAGTTATGTTTGTTTGCTTGTGTTAAAGAACCAGCCAGAGGGATCCACTTTCATAGAATTTACCCTCAGGTGAGGATCCCCCCTTTCCTTCCACACACTGGACATGCTTGAAGCACATGCTCTAGGATAACTTAAGTATGTGCTTTGCTTTTGCATGACCTACTATAATCCACCGTGCACCCCATAACAGCCAGATGGATTTGGGAGCAGGGAACCATCTTCCAGGGAGAGAGAAAACCCAAAATATGGAATGAACTGGGCAGAGAAAGAGGCAACGTGGCATTTGAAGTGCTGTCAACCTGCAGACAATGCTGTGCTAAGCAACAGACTCACTACTCCAGTCACAGTGACAGGAATTTGAAAAATAGAGTATCCTACAGGAAAGAACACACTGGGAGAAATCCCACTAGTCTCAGTTCAGGGGCCAGTTTAGCTCCAGATCCAAATGCTGTGCTTTGGACTGATGCTCTGCAAAGCAATTTTGCCATCCTGCTAATGTCCTTGTGGAGAGATCAGGAAGAGAGAGAAAGACACAAACACTTCAGAATGACAAGTATGTTCTTAATTACAGCGACAGGCATCAAGAGAGAGAGCACAAAATAGTAACTGGCTGTGTCCTAATTTTGGGAAAAAATTATGATCCAGATTAAATCGATACTTTTTTTCCTATTCCTCACACATCACTGCATGTGTCACTTCAGTCTCTACTTTTCTCATCCTTCAGTTTCTACTTTTCTCATCTGGAGACAGAACAATCTTTCAATTAAAGGTTGCTACAAAATCATGTACCTAATTAGCCTCTAATTGTAGGAGGGACACAAACTGTGACTTCCCCCTGCTGATTAAGGTAGTAAAGAACAGGTGTGTGACCAGGGCATGTGGACTGCATGTGTCACTTCAGTCTCTACTTTTCTCATCCTTCAGTTTCTACTTTTCTCATCTGGAGACAGAACAATCTTTCAATTAAAGGTTGCTACAAAATCATGTACCTAATTAGCCTCTAATTGTAGGAGGGACACAAACTGTGACTTCCCCCTGCTGATTAAGGTAGTAAAGAACAGGTGTGTGACCAGGGCATGTGGAGGCCCACTTTGC